CTTGCCCCTCCCCATGTGCCGCATCTTCTTCAAGTTCTCCTCGTATCTGGTCTCCTTCTCGAGTGAGTTCGTGCACATGCATCCTGCAGCGATTGCATAGCCATAGCGTGTCTGACTTCCCACTCCCCATGCACCGCGTCTTCTCTGAGTTCTCCTTGCCACCGACCGCCTTCTCGCGAGCAAGTTCATGCACATGCATCCTGTGGCGATTGCGTAGCCATAGCGCATCCGACTTTCTGCTCCTCATGCACTGCGTCTTCTCCGAGTTCTCCTCGTCGCCGGTCGCATTCTTGAGCAAGTTTGTGAGCATGCACCCTTCAATGACAGGCATCACTGTGGTGGAGGCAGGATTGAAGCGTTCGGGCATTGAGGAGAGTATACTAGGATATGAAGAGGGGGGCACATGTCAGTGAAGCGGTCATGTGGATGTCTGCATCTGCATTTGTGACAGTGCTGGTGGATTGGGTGAATCATTTGCGAGTACTCCTGGTGGCATGTTATGCATCAATATTCATTCCGCATTTGAAAAGTGTTATTGGACCTGACGACTGCTGCATTGTCATGTTGAATAGATCACGCTGATGTTATAGAGCGAATAGCGAGGAGAACGCACATGTATGCCAATTGGGAACTGTTTGTACTACATTTCTACTCTAGAAAAAAGCTCCTTGATACGTAAAAACATATCCGCATCAACAACATCCACAATCAAATACTCGCCTTCCTTGGTGAAATCTGGAACTATCAGAGCCCCTCGAATGATGGAATAGATCGAGAAAATTTCTGAAGGTATGTGCGGGTTTGAGTACAAGTGATAGAATCCAACATCAATATCCCGCTTGAGCCACCATTGACCATGCTGTCCTTGACCGTCGAAGGGCTCAACCAAGGCTAATGGATACTTGACATTGTCCACAGTGTATGTGAATAGCAGCAAAAGTCGACCAAAAACTGGTTTTGCTGGATCGTCGGTTGCGAGTACTACACAGTCACGTCGTGGGTGACCATGGAAATCTGGGCTGCAAAGTAGATAATCTGTAGTCTGCTTCCATGTCTCTTTCAATTCATAGTGAATCTTGAGGAACCGGTGCTCAGTGAGCTGTACAGACATGTCCACGAGTTAGCATAGCACATTATAGGGAATTTGAATATCTGAACCATACCGCATGGCCTGGTGTCACCTTGACAGGACTGCCATTGGCTGTTCAGATGTCACAATGAGCGAAGAAATGGATAAGCTGCTTATGTAGGTTGACGAAGCATATATTGTGATTTTTTTGCTGTATGATCGCAGAAATCAGAGTAGGAGACTGTGGTGAACCCAGGACAAAGTGTCCAGATCCGTCAACAACTGGTGGCATGGCAACGTTTGCGAGCGGATCATCAGCAGAGTCAACATCAGTGTCGGTGTTGATCTGCGAGGATTCCGGATCACGGTAGCCATCCAGCTCATTGATTCGATCACGTATGAGTGCTGCAACATCGAGTCGATGTTCTGCAGACAAGATCTTACTCAAGCATATTAGCATAACAATTTACCCAATCATTTCAGCCTTATGTGGTTTGCGACATCTTTCTTATTTGAGCGCAGGAGGTAAGATGTCTTGATAGGTCCATGTTTCTTTTCATTTGGCTTTGTGCTGTAGTTCCGGGTTACACCCTTGGCAAGAATATCTGCAAAAGCATGCTTGTGTGTATGGATTTTGGGAAAGTTCCAGTTTTTTGTTGGAAATTTGGTGTAGTAATTCTATCAAGGCAGCGTTGTTAGCATAATAATATGCTATTTGACCATTGTGATTAACCTTGAGGCAATCTGAAAAGTGCAATAGCTCCTGGCTGCCTGCTGCAATTGTCTCTGTTGTATGCACCTTCAATGATAGGTATAGATCAAGCTAGAGATAGCTTCAAATACAGCGTAGGAGGTGATATCCAGATGAGTCAGAGCGAGAGGCCAGCACATTGTGTGTTGCAAACATTACAACCTATTGCAGGGCCATCAATTATATTATACAATCCAAGAGACATGCTGATCACCTTAGACATATCTTCATACTTGGTGCCATCGCTAAACCCAAACTTCATCATTTGGCTAAAGTGATTTAAATTGCGCCATCGTGGAATCTTGTCTATCCTGAAGCAGATATATAATTAGATCAATAATATATATCAATGAAATATTCATACTGTTGATCTGCCTGGCTTGCTGCATTTCATCCAAGTCCTCCTAGCATTTGCAAGACCTCAGCAAAGAGATGGTCACCAAATAGGCCAAGATGATATGTATGCATGCAGGCAATCAAATGATAGTGCTTGATGCACATCAGTGTTAGCAACGTTCCAGAAGACATTCTTTATCAATTTATGAGCATCTATTCAAATGATCTTTAACCAAATTACTTACTTCAACTGGACGTAGACCATATGTCTTGAGAAGCTCATTTGCCTCCTCTCGCTTCATGGTTTGTGCTGCTTTAACAATAGCTCTTGAATCTGCAGCAGTGCGAAGAGGAAAATCAAGATGCAGGTCCATCAGCTTTTCAGTAGGCACTAAATAGATTAGACAGCAACAGCGGCTATTCATCCCACGAATTAAAGCCATCATGCATCTGGTAAAGATATATCAGAGTCTGAATTGGAGTCTAAAATGAATCACAAATACACACTGTTCCTCATAGTCAGCAGAGAGTATAAATATGAATGAGTACATCTTCATGAGAGTGTCCAAGGGATGAGGGAAACCAGTTTTTGAGAACTTGGCAAATGTTTCAATAAACTTAAGAAATGCCTGATGCCAGACTACTCTCTTGAAATTGACAAAACCTGTTTTTCCATCTTCTGCTGAATCTTCAGGCACCTGTTAACCCTCAATAAGTGACATAATGTGGAGACCACAAATAAGACCTACAATTGGCAGCCATCCCACAATGTCACAGATTTTCACCACAAAGTCCGCACGTGACTTTTCTCATGCCACAGATCAGGTGCTTCACCAATATCTCACGTCACTCAGCCACAGACGCGACACGTAGAGATCAGGTGATAGTCCACATCACATGTTATGGTCCAGACCTGCGGATGATACGGTCGGACCTGTCTATTCCAGGATACAATAGAGGCACCCATTTGGGAACAAAGGAAACAAGGACTATTGTTATGCATCGGCCTTCCGCTTCCTATTAGTTTAGCCAGAAGCCTAGATAGGCATGATGTTCACACCGGAGAACAAAAGGGAACCCAAGATAGGCACGATGTGCACACGCATTACTGCAGCAACCATCGATCTTCCCACTTATTGTTCTACTTCCGGACATCCTATTGTTTCATGTACGGCCATTAGCTTATACCTGTAGATAGGTAGCTTAGGTAGGATAGCCCACTGTACGTGTATATAAAACCAGCCATGTAGAGGACGAAACTTCAGATTGTTTCTCCTCATCTACTACTGTAGCACCCTACTGAGCTCACCAGCTCCATCATATATCTCTCACCCTTTCCTGCGTCAGCCACCTCGACTAGTAAGTCATAGGCTCTTGTGCCACATAGGGTTCAGGGGGATTCTTTGGGATCAGGGGGATCAGGGCGGCACGTTCCACGTGACTGTCCCTTTTTAGTCTTTTTGATCTCTTGTCCGGTGTTGCCGTGACATTAGAAACAATCTGACATTTTCTGCGCCCCTGCTTAGTGTTTAACACAAGTGGCTGCGTATTTTCAGCACAAGCAGTTTCAGCCGTAGCGCGCGGCTTTTTTGACATACATTCCAACCCAACTTCTACCAGGCGTGAGCCTCAGCAAGACACTGAGCAGCCCAAGGCAGCAAAGCGCAAGGCCACCAAGGCAGAAGATCCTTACGCCGGCTACAAACACCTCGAGACCAACAAGGAGTGAGGAAGACTTCTCACTCTAGCATCCTTAGGCGCATCCTCTACAGACAGGCAGCGTGCAGCAGCCAGGGTAGTTGACACTACGCATATCAGAGTCCAAGGCATCATCCGCTGACCTCGCAGTCACACCCCCCCGCTCGAACGCTACAAGCCCAGAAAAGGACACCTCACTACAGGCGGTCGAAGGCCAAGACCACCCCCAGAGATCATCACCTCCAATGCCGTTCCCCCCATCATTGTTGCTTCACAGCCAGTGCGACCCCTTCCCAACTTTATCAAAGTCAACACACACGCACGACCCATTTGCCCTCTTCCGTCCAAAGTCAGGCCCACCCTCCACATCGAAACACTCAAGAAGCAGGTCTCAGCTACCCGCTTCAGACTACAACCGATATTAGGAGCATTCTGGGAGAGAATTGATCAGGACAAACAAAAGAAGGTACAACTCCTCGCATCGGAGTTAGACAAAGTCTGCGCAGACCTCTACACGGGAACTCGCGAATACACCTTCATCGACAAACAGGTCATCAACACGTGCTGCCTAGAAATAGGCAGGATCAACAATAGGGAAGCAGCAGAGGTTAGACGAGATCGTCAGGGAGATTGGGAAAGTCAAGGACAAGCAGTACCTAGGCTTCATTTTCAATCAGTTTAACTATGTCTATATCACAATGGAAGGAGCCAATCGTGCGTACGCATCCACGTTCAGGCAAAGAATGGATGACATTCTGCATACAAACGTCGAGACAGCACACGATGGAAGCACCCCACGTGCCTCGCAGCACAATTCACCGGAACCTGCGCTAGCACCGCAGGATTCTGCATCGCAAGTCAGAGGACCTGCATCCCCGACACCATCACTCCTACCAGCATATGTTCCCCCCATCTGGGAGTTTGACGGACACCAATTTGAGCATCTAGAAGATGCGCTCAGACAGTCCGCTCCCGGCGAAGTTCCGGATCACATCCGAGAATGGGTGATCATCGCAATGAAGCTTACGGTCAGCACTGAAGTCGCCAAGGTCTACAATGTGCTCGGAAACAAGATGTACGAGCACAAGAAAGCCTTTGAATCATTGATCCAAAACAACAAAAGCGAATACTGACTTAAGGAGGCAGTTCTCCAGACGGAGATCGGAAAGCTCAAAGATAGGATCCTCGCGCAAGATGCACATATGGTGGTTTTGAATGATGAGCTCACGGAAACCCAGGCGGCAATGCTCGATACAGGCAAAGAAATGATGGAAATCAAGGCAGCTAATGTCAAGCTGCGGCACGAGCTAGCTTCGCTCAAAGCAAGCGGCGTCACTGCAATGCAAGGTCAAACATCCAGAACGGTCCAATCACACAAACCATGCATCAAAATTGCTGAGCCTCCACACTACTCGGGCAAAGGAAGTCTGGAGGACTGGCTCCAACAACTCGGGCAAAGGAAGTCTGGAGGACTGGCTCCAACAACTCGGTATATGGATGCGGTGGAATGAGATCAACAATGACGAACACAAGATTACCACGGCCCTGCTGCACTTGGAAGGTGGCGCATTCACCTACATGTCCGAATACGCAACCAGGGCAGCAGCACGGCAGGCACTTGGCACACGGGAAGACTTCGTCAACATTCTCAAAGTAAACTACAGGACCCTCGACCCGGACAAGGATGCGCAGCAGCATTTAAAGGATATCTGCAACAAGATGTATCCCACCATGGTATCTTTCACAGAACAGTTCCATCAATGGGCCACTAAGACCAACTTAGGGCACACTGCACTCATCGGTTACATTGCTGAACATCGAAGCAAGGAGGTACGCCAGGCAATGGTTACAAGAGACAGTCTAGGAATTTCCGACCCCATCACATGGCCGGAGTACCTCGACCTATGCCTTCAACTGGAATCTAAGTTCAGGGCTGATAAGGCAGGACAGCGCGGAACGGCAACAACGTCATCATCATCGGCACCATGGACCCTGAAAGACCCCAACGCAATGGTTGTGGATCGAGTATCCACCCTCACCAAGGAGCAAGAAGGATGGCTGGAGAAGAAGCTGTGTGTACGATGTGGGCAACACCCCTTCGTTTTTAAACAGCGATGCCCAGACCCCAAGTACAAAGGCAAATTCGAAATGCCAAAGTGGGGCCAAGCAACAAGGGCAATTTCTTCAAACATGGACTCAGACATCTCCGACGACAGCAAGGCGAGATACAAAGCAGTCTGTGCTTTCATCGCCAGCTATGACATGAAGGGAAAGGACAAGGAGGCAGAACCGGAACCAGCTGTCAAAGCAGCTAGGATCACGGAGGTAGAAGATGATGAGGATTTTCTTTGGCGGGTTCTCTGAGGTCTGGCCAGAGTTCCCATAGACAGTGTAATAGTACCTACTCGCTCTCGCATGTACCAGTATCAAGTTTTTTTATACATCGCATCTACTGGTTCGTCAAAACACGCGATCGATTTACCTGTTCATCTCAAACAGGGAGTAAGGGAAGTCCAGACTGAGGCGCTCCTCGATTCAGGAGCATATTCTTGCTACATCAACCCACGGCTGGTTGATCAGTTGAATCTCACTACGATCTCACTTGAGAAGGAGATCAGGGTTTATAATGCAGATGCATCTCACAACAAGGGTGGAACCATTAAGAAAAGGGTTCTTCTAAGTATAACCATCAGAAATCACACAAGCAGGCAAAGCCTCTTGGTCACCGATATAGGACATAAAGACGTTATACTAGGCATGAGTTTCCTCAAAGAGCATAATCCTGAAGTGGATTGGGGAAAACTCACGGTTGATTTCACCCGGTGCTCACACAGATGCGCACCCTCACAGGTAGCAATCCAGGAGGAGGACCTGGAAGACACAAACATCCCCCACATCGAAGACCTGATGGAGTTCATCAGTTCCCAGGAGTTAGGTGACAACTGGAACGACATGGACAGCTTTATCAGATGGGTGTCATTATCAGAAGACCCTGATGCACAGGCCGTAGCATCACTCATTATGGGTCTTGACACCAAGAGGAATCAGGATAGAGCACCGCAAAAAGGAGAACAGGACAAAGACTACTGGTCAGCCTATGTCCCCAAACACTTCCACGAGTATGGCGATGTGTTCTCCAAGAAGCAGTCAGAACGAATGCCCACAAGAAAGCCCTACGATCATCCAATCGAACTTGTTCCAGAGGCATCGTTACCACGCCCGGCAAAGTTATATCCTATGAACTTACAGGAAAGAAATTCGCTCGATACGTGGATAGACCAAGAGTTGGCCAAAGGTTACATCAAGAGATCAAGGAGTCCAACCACAGCACCCGTCTTCTTCGTCAAAAAGAAAGACGGGTCCCTAAGGCTCGTACAAGACTACAGGAACCTCAATGCAGTCACAAAGAAGAACAAGTTCCCAATCCCACGCATTTCGGACCTCATCGACAGACTCTCACATGCTAGCATATTTGCGAAGCTTGATCTGAGATGGGGGTTCAACAACATAAGGATTAGGGAAGGAGACGAAGAGAAAGCTGCCTTCATCACACATCGTGGCCTCTTCGAATCCACAGTAATGTACTTCAGTTTCTGCAACGCTCCTAGCACCTTCCAGACAATGATGAACACAGTCCTCGAAGACTTGATTCGTACTGGAAAAGTGGTAGTCTATTTAGACGATATCCTTATCTTTACGGACGATCTCAATGAACACCGACGACTAGTAAAAGCAGTTCTACAGCGCCTCCGGGACAATGACTTATATGCCAAACCGGAGAAGTGCTTCTTTGAACAGCCCTCAATTGAGTATCTTGGCATGATCATCAGCAAGAACTCAGTACAGATGGACCCTGCTAAAGTCGAACATGTACTTGGCTGGCCCGCACCAACAAAGGTCAAACAAGTACAGGCCTTTTTAGGATTCGCGAATTTCTACAGGCGATTTATAAAGGACTTTGCGAAACTAGCACGACCCTTAACGCTTCTCACCTGTAAGGACGTGCCCTGGCAATGGAAGGAAGAGCAAGACCAAGCCTTCAGTGCACTCAAAACGGCGTTCACCTCAGCCCCGATCTTACAACTCCCCAACGACACAGCACCATACCGTCTAGAAACAGATTCTTCAGACTATGCAACTGGTGCAGTGCTCGAACAACTAGGAGAGGACAAGCTATGGCATCCAGTCGCATACTACTCTAAGTCACTCAACGAACATGAGCGGGACTACGAGATTTATGACAAGGAGATGCTTGCTATTATTCGGGCACTAGAAGAATACCGGCACTATTTAGAAGGACATCCAGAACCCATTGAGATTTGGTCAGACCATCTCAACCTTACATACTTCCGTCAGGCACAGAAATTATCCCGGTGCCAAGCGCGCTGGTCATTATTCCTCACACGCTTTAATTTTGTACTCAGTCACTGACCTGGAAAGACTATGCTGCGTGCTGATCCTCTGTCCAGGAGGCCAGACCATGAGAGGGGGGTAGACAGTGACAATTCAAATCAAATGCTGTTAAAACCTGAATTTTTCGCTATCAATGCGATTCGACCCGCTCACGCATCTGAAGTTGATGATGCTCAACTACTGGAAAGGATCAAGAAGGCACTCATAGATGACATGATGACCAAAGATTATCGTGCGCTTTTGACTACGGGACAGCGTGAATTTGGGAAAAACCTCGCAGAATGGAACTTTGAGCACGGACTACTGCTTCATCGCGGAAAGGTTTATGTCCCCAAAGATCAACAGCTATGCCTTGACCTAATAAAACTCCATCACGACACCTTACCAGCCGAACACCCCGGCAGGTTCAAGACGTTGGAGCTTATTACTCAGAATTATTGGTGGCCAGGAATGTTTGTAATGGTTAAACAATACGTACAAGGTTGCGACAGTTGTCAACGCAACAAGTACTCAAGGAAAAAACCATACGGACTACTACAACCCAATGAGGTACCAGGAGGACCGTGGAAAATCGTCACAGTTGATCTCATCACTCAACTTCCTCCAGCCATGGACTTTAGGGGAGAAAAGAAGACGGCAATACTTGTCGTCGTAGACAGACTCACGAAGCGAGCGCACTTTTATGCAACGGATGATACAGTCACATCGTCGCAAGTCGCTAACATATTCTATAACGAAGTCTTCAAACTCCACGGATTGCCACGCCAGATTATCTCAGACAGAGGTACTCAATTTGCGAGCAAATTATTCTAGGAGTTCTGCCAGAAGCTCGGTATAAAGTCTACAATGTCTACAGCATACCATCCCCAGACAGACGGTCAAACAGAAAGGGTTAACCAGGTATTGGAACAGTACCTACGAATGTACTGTAACCACAGACAGAACGATTGGGTCTATTACCTGCCAACAGCAGAATTTTCATACAACAACCAGACCCATGAATCCACCGCACTTTCCCCATTCTTTGTCGAATATGGCCGACATCCAAAAATGGCACCAGACGTACACGAATCAATACGTCATCCCTCATTGGAACATCTATTCGCCCACCGATCCGAGGCACAAGAACAGGCAAAGGCAGCATTGGAAGTTTCAGCTTCATGGATGAAATGGTACTTCGACCAGAAAAAGGGAGAAGTCCCATTCAAAGTTGGAGACCTGGTACTACTCAAGGGAAAGGATCTCAGAGTAAAAGTCAAGTCCGCGAAGCTAGGCACACAAAACTTCGGACCTTACAAAGTACTTCAGAAGCTAGGCCCAGTCACATTTAAACTGGAACTGCCTAAGCAAATGAAGGTCCACCCGGTCTTCCATGCTAGCAAGTTGATCATGTACCATCAACACACGGTCACAAACCGCGAACCCCCAAAGCCCCCAGCTATAGAAATCGAAGGAGAACCAGAATTCGAAGTTGAAGAATACTAGACTCGAAGGTAGTAAGGGGAAGGGTCCAATACCTCATCAAATGGAAAGGCTATGACCATTCCGACGATACATGGGAACCCCGAACAAATCTTACCAACGCCGACAAGCTTCTTCAAGAATTCCACCAGCAACACCCAGATGCAGCCAAAGCACCAATCAGGGTCATCACTTTTGGTGGAAAACGCTTCAAATTATCCTCATATGAAGTTGCACCGATCTCCACACACCGAATCAACATGTCCGATCATCCAGACGAGTTCTTCCTATATCATAAGATGACAATCTCACCAAATCACCAAACAAATCCTCAAATGAAGCAGCGGGATGGGATATTTATGCAGCAGAAACGCATGAAATCCCCCCACATTCACGAGCTGTGGTAGGAACAGGAGTTGCAATTGACCCTCCCAAACATACCTATACACGAATAGCTCCACGCAGCGGACTGGCTGCATGAGGAATTGACGTGGGTGCAGGAGTCGTCGATCCAGATTACATGGGAGAACTCAAGGTCGTGCTGATCAACACAACAGATTTCGTATTTTTGGTCAAGCCGGGAGATAGAATAGCCCAAATAATCTTCGAGTATTATGCCGAAGGGCTTCCCTCCAGAAGCTATCAGCCGTTGCGAGCAACTAGAAGGGGAAACAAAGGTTTTGGCTCCTCGGGACGATGAGCCTTGAAAGGGGGGTAGTGTCACAGATTTTCATCACAAAGTCTGCACGTGACTTTTCTCACGCCACAGATCAGGTGCTTCACCAATATCTCACACCACTCAGCCACAGACACGATACGTAGAGATCAGGTGATAGTTCACATCACATGTTATGGTCCAGACCTGCGGATGATACGGTCGGACCTGTCTATTCCAGGATACAATAGAGGCACCCATTTGGGAACAAAGGGAACAAGGACTATTGTTATGCATCGGCCTTCCGCTTCCTATTAGTTTAGCCAGAAGCCTAGATAGGCACAATGTTCACACCGGAGAACAAAAGGGAACCCAAGATAGGCACGATGTGCACACGCATTACTGCGGCAACCATCGACCTTCCCACTTATTGTTCTACTTCCGGACATCCTATTGTTTCATGTACAGCCATTAGCTTATACCCGTAGATAGGTAGCTTAGGTAAGATAGCCCACTGTACATGTATATAAGACCAGCCATGTAGAGGACGAAACTTCAGATTGTTTCTCCTCGTCTACTACTGTAGCACCCTACTGAGCTCACCAGCTCCATCATATATCTCTCACCCTTTCCTGCATCAGCCACCTCGACTAGTAAGTCATAGGCTCTTGCACCACATAGGGTTCAGGGGGATTCTTTGGGACCAGGGGGATCAGGGCGGCACGTTCCACGTGACTGTCCCTTTTTAGTCTTTTTGATCTCTTGTCCGGTGTTGCCGTGACACACAACAGTACCACCACCAATGTCTTCACCATTGCAAATCTCAACTGGCAGCTGGGCTGGATGAGCTATCACAGGATATCCCTTCTCTGTACCAAAGCTGGATAGCTTTGTCTTATCTGCATAGATGATAAGTCCAAAAGGAGTGCCATCTTCTGGAAGGTTGCTCTATGAAAAGGTCAAATAATGAACATGATTTATGTCATGAATTATATTACCTGAATTCTCCAAAAAAGGTCCCCAGTCCATGGTTCATGAACAAAGTGCACAAATTACTGCCATTGAATTTGTACAGCTTCACAGCATCCCAATTCCAATGTGATCTCAATCATGGATCACAGAGCAAATCAAGACACCATTCCCACAAGTCACGGCCATAAAGCTCAAAACTGCGGACTTCTTTCTTGTATGGAACATCTACAGTGTACTGCTCAAACTATATTTGATAAGCAATGTTTATGGTTAGAAGACAGGTTAGCCAAGATTTTAAGAATACGTACAGGTGTCAACAGCACTGATGCTTGTTCCCAATACTTGTGAAGCTTCACATCACTGGCTATGGTAAATTCAGCCTTGCCACTGGCAACTGCATTAATGATATTGATCAATGCATTGACTTGGTTTTTGTTGAGTGCAGCATTTAGAGCAATCTCAGCAAACTCAAAGTCTGTGCGCATTCGAAATGGTCGCCAAGGTTTCTCAGATTGCGGTGGAGGAGCCTGACTGGCTTCGTCTCGTCCATATTCCTCAAATGACTGAATCCGCATCGGAGTTCTTGCACGAGGATGAAACACTGTCTTGATATCGTCAATACATGGCTCGAATATATCTTTATTTGGCAGATCATATCAGCACACAATCGAGCTGCCAACTCCTGTAGTCCACAACTACTCACCTTCATCAGATATGTCAGGACCTGCATTCAAGTCATTGGTTGATGCACCGGCAGGGCATTCAGCTGGCTCATGCAAGGGCATCTCGCCACACAGTGGAGGTCCTTATGGCGGTGGCATAAGACAATAATTTGAAGAATATAAGGCTAGCATCACTTACCGTCATAGTGGCTAGCTGCACCTTGAAGACTTGGTGCTTCCAAGACAACTGTCTAAGCAGCTGTAGACATAAGTCAGTTAAATTTACGGCCACATTGCCACCTTCTATGCAGTCAAGGACATTTGCATACCTAAACTCGCAATTCCCGCAAGGCGACTTGTGAATTCTCGTGCTGCACCTTGCAAGCCATCTGTCTCCACAACTGGAGTTTAATGATAATACCAGAATAAGCCGTGTTTTAGAATATGTATTCCAAGCACTTACTTCGTTCCGGGACCAGCTCTCGCAACAGCTCCGCATCACGATCACGATCTCTGGCCTCTCTTAAACATTTTCGCTCATGGCTTGTGATCCCCTTTGCATTGAAAGTCTTGTGACACCTCTCGCATTGACGTGTTTGTACAGAGGCATGGTGGCCTTCAGCCTGCAATCAGGTTGTGACCTGCCGTGAGGACATTGCAGAGTTGTACAAGATGTAAGCTCCAGAAAAGGTAAGAGAGCTCAAGATACAAAAGCGAGCAAGAATTGTGAAGCACTTGTAAGACGTCCGGTGGCAAGACGCGGCAATGACACAAGACGGCGCACCTTGAAGGAATTGCAACGTGATCGCATCGCGTTACAATTCAAGGTCCGATATGGTAAGTAAATAGCTCTAATTGGAATATCATTTTAACAAAATAGTTTATCTTGTAATGCAATTGCAACCGGAATTGCAAACTCGCGGAATTGCAATGTACGTAGGAAATTTCCGACATCGATCGAAGTCGTCAACAGGGGCGAGCCCGTTGAACCTGACTGGCTGGTCTGCCAAATCGAAGCTGGATCCGCTCCCACTTCCCAGGCGACCCACTGGCAAGCAGCTCAAGATCCTGAAAATGCGGTGGAGAGCTGACCCGTCACCTCAAGATGACCCTCTCGCATTCTATGCTACATTGCGTGAGCAGGGCCTTTCTCTGTTTAAGGACACTAATCTGGAGTACGCCACGCCCATACTGGTGGCAGTTGCGGAGAAGAAAAAGGACAAGATCGCCCGCCTGCTGGTCCAGGACATCCTGTCAAATTGGCACCACGTCGGACAAACATATTGCTCTATCATGCTCAAAAATATCCTCCTTCTCATGCAGCAAAACTTTCTGGACAAGGAACAGGTCGCTGCCTTGGCTCGGCGCTCTCCGTTCTTCCAGCCAGCTCATGTCCATTAACGAACATAACCGGGTACCCATAGCGATAGCGATCTTGAACCTCCCTGCTCATCCTAGGCTCGACACTCAGATCAATGACACTCTTGCGACTCTACTCATTGGAGTCTTAGCAGATGCAAGAGCACAGTCAGAATCGGATGAAGTTCGGCATCGCCCCCACAAGGCAGCCGAGCTGCTGATGTTCATTGCATGTGATCTCACAGCGGCGGGGACGCGCTTGCGCTCGATGGAGATTGTGAATGCGCTCGTGCAGACTCATAGTGTGCCTTCCAGCGTGGTGTACCATGCGAATCTCATGTTGACGGACTTCTCTCTCATTATCATGACTATGTCGGTGCACTCTGTTCTTCACTTAGGATGGTGGTCAACAGCTGGTAAGCTATTCTGGTACACTGCTTCTCAATTAAAGCTCACCTTGCTGAGGTCATCTATTCTGTCTCGTTTACACCACAGGAGGCCTATCTGCCTCCTCAAGAATGTCTCCTCTCCTCGTCTGGCTCATGACGCACCTTACAAAGAAGATCAAGAAGGCTCACCTAGCACGGCAGCTCGCAACACATGTTTTGGAAGCACAGATTCCGCTACCTGTGCTGGATCATGAGCACTTCATCGGGCTAGTCACCTCGCGCAGTTCGCAACGCACACACGCATGCTTTAGGAGTGGTACGCTTTTGTGGAAAGCAGAAATGATAGGACCTTCATCGAGGGCAACGCAGGTGCGATGCTCTATGTTGTGAGTCTATTCACAAGATTCGCGAAATGAGAGGGATCCACACTACTGGACAATGCTGAGGAGGAGGACAAGCTGCATGACAGTGAGGTGGTAGATGTGGCTGTGTCAGTGCTGCTCGAGGGCGCGGACGAGGCATTTCCACCACGGAAGCTTTCTTGGCCTGCGCAGGGACCTAGACTTGAATCAGCGAAAGTCAGTTTCGACTGGAAAAATGCCTCAATCTGTAGATCCAGCATCCTCCGTGGTTGTCACTCGTGTTGGAGCACCAAGTGTTGATTCTACTGCGCTTAGCAAGGTTCATGGTGCCACGCCAAGCAAGCCCATTGGTCAAGCCACATCAGACACTTGCCCGTCAGGGGCTGCCGACCATTTCCAGGCGTGTTTGGGAGCCTCCTCGAGTAAGAACCCACGTGTGCCAGATGAGTGGGTTGAGCTGGAAAGTTGAAAAGGGGACGCAGCTCGGGTGAACCAGAATGACACGTCGCAGTTCGGGCGCTTGTGTCAACGCTGCGCTTTGGCCGCCTTGTGCCCTTTGCTTATGGAACCAGGCCATCGCGCGATATGGTCTTATTGTTCGAAAACCTAAAATAAATAAAATGGTACGCTGTACATTTCTGAGCAGGACTTGAAGCTGAACACTTTCTCTCAAACAGGCTCGCTACCTACTACATCATCTCCTCCTCTGCGTGTGCCCCTTCCCCTGGTCTCCTGCTCATTGCGATTCTATGACACGAAAGCCGTTCTTACTTATTCCACGCATTGTATCCACCTCCGTGCATTAGTTGGCCATACCGCTGCCCTCCGCTTCGACGAGGTCTGCATAGACATCCTTTGCCTCTCCCTCTGAAGCCTCATCAAGAATCTCCTGCAGTCGGACCAATGACTCCATTGCCAGATCCAATAGATCGAAGTCTATCCCGTCCTGATGATTGTTGCGAGGCGGCATGGAGGGCGACTGGATCAGTGAGGAGGAGGAAAGCTGGGAGGGAAGGGCCAAGTTGCGGTGGCGCCCCTCGAATGCATCCTCGTGATAGCTGTGCTGTTCGCTGCTCCGCCTGTTGTGGGCCCTCATTAGATACTCCGGCGAACTCAATGAGGCGACTTGAGAGGTGGACGCCCACTGAGAATTGGGCCAGTCGGAGTCACAGAGACGTCCGCCATAGCCGTGCTCCCATTCGGCGAATGGCGTGTCGGTATCGACATTGTACAGCCTCGATCACGACAGTCATCGAGGATAGGGAAGCCGATTTCAAAGAGTTCGCGATGCGCGTGTTTAAAACATATTATGCGAGTCGGCGGCCGCTGATACATGTGCATCACTTCGAGCTCAACGCGCTCGCGCGTGCGGCGTTCATATTGGGACAGCTGGAGGAGGGTCTGCGGATGTTTCAGGAAATGGTGGCAGGTGCTGGGCCTTGTGAATGTGAACGTCGTGCTGGAGATGCTGGCACAGTACAACTTCACGGCGGCTGCATGTGTGCTGGAGCGGATGGTTACGGTGGGCTGATGCCCGACGCGATTTGGGTCAGTGATCCACCATGCAGTCGTGTATCGAGACATGGTACTGGCACCGGGGGCATGGGCCCATGATTCTGCCCGAAACATTTTAAACACATTGTAATAACAGTCCAAATAATTATGCAATGTTCTTAGCACATAAATTTTGATATCATTTTGAATGTTTTAAAATGTTTTAAACATCAACATTGCAGCACAATTTTGATAGCATTCATAAAGATGCAAGAATGAGACCCCAATGCTGCAGATGACAGCATTTAAGCATTATTG